CAGACTGCTGCTGCTACACTGCTACAGACTGCTGCTGCTACAGAGTGCTGCTAGTGTTGAAACCCAACACTAATACTAGTTGACTATGAACTCATGCGTTCTTGTTCTTCTTCTGTTCTTCTGTTATGGAGAGCAGTCTCGTCTCTGTGGCAAATGCTGTCCAACATAAAGTGGAATAAAATAATAGAATAATGTATGTGATGTATATGTAATGTTTACACTTGATACAGACAAAACAACTTGGTAATGAAACCTAGGCACAAAATAAAATCTATGTTCCTGTCAGTAAGTATCCTACATTTTTGTATCATGTGACTGTAAAATAAAAAAAACACCGGCAGACTGATAAGGTTTAAAGGCAACAAAGTTGCAGCTCTTGGACTTGGACTTTATCAAATCCTTTGAGAGTCTTTCTTCTCTCCGTCTGATAGAAACACCCAATCCAACAGTCTATGGTAACATACATGTGATTGAATCCTGTGTGCTTGCAGGATTAGAATAATCTCATTTTCTAAGAACTGGGGTTCATAAATCAGCTCCATGTCTGTCCAGATCTGATGATCCAGGGTTGTGATTGTGGATGATTTTGACATCAGTCTGTCTCTCTGACTTTCCGGTCTGTCTCTCCGTACATCTGCCTGTCTGCCTGCCGTGATGCAGACTGACCTTAATCAGCAGTTAGCCTCGTGAGCAGCCTCCTGCTGCTGCTCCTCTCTCTAGTCCGGACAGATAAGAAGCTTCTAGGTCTGCATACATCTGTGCAGGTCGTCCCTCAACAAGCCTTTTCCTTTGAGTAATCCATCCAGACAAGAGAGGATGTTTATTCAGTCTGAGGGGAGATTATAGCCACAGTCATTTATCATTAAACTGTAACACCATTACAGTACACAGAGAATATTGAACAAGATAATGCAGAACATACAGCAGGGCTATTAAATAACACCTCATTTTATACTGGTATATTTATTCTGTGTATTCTCTATTCCCTTACTCTTCAATCAATATTATTGACAACAGCTTTCGTATATGAAAGCTGTACCTCAATGTGACCCTCATGTCAACTGTTTTTTTTAGACTAGGACATTTAAACACAGAAGTGTGAAAACACACATGCAAATATATAAAATAAATCTATATGTATGATAATAATAATTAATAATTCAAAATGAGTAAATGTTTATCCAACTTTTCCACTTGGTCTTGTATCTAAGGGGTAACGTTTCATTGCCACATAATGTATTACCTTCCTGCCTTTTCCTGTGGAAAAGAGACAGATGAGAGGTATAGAGGAGTCACGTTCCACATCATGAGGTGTCACAATTTCCACACATTTCAAACATATAAGGAGTTGTTTCTATGTGCTGACAGATTATTATATTATTGTTCAACTTGTAATTTTAACCCGGGACATACCTCTGTGGTTGTGACCTCATTTATATTCCCCTATGTCAATGTCTGTTTGGTAATCTACAGTGTAGACTGTAAAACTGTGTTCCTATTCAGGGAACATGTCTTGAAACTTTGGAATCTAATCTAATAAGGGCAGGGAAATTGATGATGTGCTGGCAGAGGAAAAGGGTTGGGCATCACCCTCTCACCGTTATTAGTACATGTGACCTGTGCAGAGGTCATGAAGTAAAGGTTAGTGCCTATGTCAGCAGGTATAGAACTCTACGTGTCATGTGTTAATATATGATTTTAAGATATAATTGCAAAAAACATGGATTTGCAATACTGAAGCAAAAACACAGTAGTCTGGCTCAGTTCTTTATTAGCTCATTAATTAAAGGCTTATTTAATATTATTATTATTATTATTAAATATTGAACAAACATTGAAATATTGCAGGTTCATATCACAAGAGCTGAATGATACAAAGTAAATCTCAATGGATCAATAAACTGACAAAATCAATTTACATGATTTATGATCTCACATATCACAAAATCAAAAGTATAACTACAGTTAGCTGTTAGAGTGGTAGCTAAAGGTTAGTATAACAGTTTGTAAAATTGAAAATAGCTGACATTTATCTTAGGCTACATCACAGAATACTTACACTGGGAAAGTACGGTTGATCACAGAGGTGGAACCACTTGTGAGCAGTTACAGGAAGTAGACTAACACTAACCTGACAGTGCTGAAGGCAAAGTTTCCTGGTTAAAATAGAAGCCAAATAGACATTCAATTAAACTTGGCAACTATGTTTTGCACTTGGATGTTTTCTTGAATTTCATATCAAGGTCTATGGTGGGCACACTGTAGCTAATATAAAATATTTGTAAGAATTAACAGGAACTGGCAAATGCACAGGTAACTGAAGCTGTTTTCTGTTTCTATCTATAATAAGGATCTCCACCAGACTGGAACTGTTCTTAGATACAGAGACTCCATGTTTGTACATTAAGTTCTTCTTGAATGTCATATGTACCAGAACATATGGTATCACGCTTTGAGGAGAGGCCAGTCCCACCCCTGTCCAGCACATGAAGCATGACTTATATGTAACCTTTCACAGAGAGAACATGTGTCATGTTCGTGGCTAAGTCATGGCTAAAATTTCTGCAAGCTTTGCAATGTTCCACCGTAGCGATCAGAGCAACCCTGTGTGCTTTTATTAGAAAACGGGTGTTGGTTTTTAGTCAATGTGATGATGGTAGAAGTCTACTGGACAAACTGTACCAACTCAGTGTCTGATCATTTCTGCTGCGCTAACTCATGGGTCACTGAGTACATGTTCACGTGTGCTACAGAGCTGGACCATAAATCAATATGATTGTAATCCCCATACACTTCATTTATCAATATCCCTGATACAGGGGACTCACATACAAGATGATAAAATAGATCAAATATCCTTTCTTAATAATTTAAGAAAGGATGGTAATATGTTTTACATATTGTCTTTTATTAAATACATTTTTATTTATACAAAGAAATGGCAAAAACAGGGTCAAGGCTCAGAGATCAGAAGGAAAATAAATCTCTGAAACTTACTGTTGGTGAAAAAATAATTTTATTATTACCAGTGTGTCCTGTACTTTTCTCTGATATGTTTTGAACGTATAAGCACATCCCATTATTTATTTATTTAAATCTTACTGTACAAGGAAACTGTATGTTAATATGAATTCTTACATGAAAATAGATTATTCAGTCTGCACGGTACTTAACCTACTGTAGTATGTCAATTTTCTTTTCCTAAGTTAAAAATGTACTAGGTAAAATACGATTTATATACTTATAAATAATAATAATAATAATAATGGTGTTAAAAATAGTCCTAAAATCTTTTAATTTCATCCGCTATTATAATGTAGGTATTTTATATAAAAAGTCAATCATCATTGGGAGCAGCTCGTAAAATCTTCTAAATGACATACAGTCATACATTTAAATGTCATTCAAATGCTCGAGTTTCAGCCCCAGCGGAGCGATTTGTGTGCACAACCGAACCACGCACGTACCTGGACAGTGTTCTTCCGCTTATTCGCAGTCGTTTAAATTTTAGTTATTTCTTTACTTTAAATTCTAATCGTAGTTAAATTCAGTTAATATTTTTGAAAGAGCGAATACTGAATGTTAAGGTCTATATTTAACGCACAGTAAACGGCTAAAATGACACGCCCTATATCCTGTGTCATCGTGTGACAGACGGAAGAAGTTCCGGGCGTGAGGTGTATAAAAAGGCTGAGGCTCGGTGGTCTAACCAGGCGTTACAGCTCAGCTGGTTATAACGACTCTACAGGTCTTTGCAAAGTTCACTCAGGAGGTAAGTCCCGGGAGTACTAATCAGTGTGTCTGTTTGGACTTGTTTATCTGTTATTTCTTATTAATAACTGTTGGCAGAGTGGATGTTTCTGCTTGAAGAAACTGCTTGAAATGGTCCCCTGCTAATGAAGTGACATTTAAGTAACTGAAGGTGCAGAAACAGTACCACAGAGTACCTGCTCATGGTACTGTGAAGTTATTTTACATTTACTAACTACTTATAACAGAGTTAATTCCTGTGTTATTTTTAGTCAGTGCTGAAGTGCTGTTATGCCCACACACCCACACACATACAAACACTTATCATGTATGTTGCATTCCTACTGTACTGTAATATGAATCCCAACAACCAGACGGTCCAGCCAAGAGGGTCCCACATGTATTCTGTTCAGTGTTAGAGGTAGGGTTTTTGTCCAGGACACCACTTTGGTCAGTATGAGTTAAAACTAACTTATATCAGTCCTCACTTGGCATGTTTATTCTCCTCAGACTGTCAGAATGTCTTTCCACAGACTTCCTCTGTTTAATGTAAATGATGAAGACCAACTCCACATGAAGGGGATAGAAACACGAACAGCTGGGCGTGAA